AAAAATTTAATCCCAGATGTTTTGTTTGATTTTGAAATGTAAACAGTTTGCATGTTTTTAAAAATAATTAGAAACCCGGGAAAGAAATGTTACCTATAGGGCACGACGGCAAAACAACAAAGAAATATTGCCGGTCGGACACGGCGAGTCAACATACGGCAAGCAATGCAAAACGTAAGGATTCAGACGAGGAATTGGAACAGTTAGTGGCAACGTGTACTAACAAAATTATACTGACAAATACAATAACTCAGCAGCATTCACTTGGCGAGATGGCATTAAAATTTAATGTGGTGTGCTACATTTTAAAGAATAACAAAGAGGACATGGTGAAAGATTTTCATCCTGCTGCCATAAAGGAAAAGTGAATCTATCACCATACCGAGAGAGCTATTATATCCAGAGCCTACTAAATGGAGGAAATCATTTGAGCAGAAACTACAAAGAGAACATTAGATCGTACAACTCTGCGTTCGCAATGGTCAGCACTCGAGCTAAAATTGAAGGACATAACAGCGGAGGGCCTTTCATGTTTAAGGTGCACGCACAATTTATCTCTCAATTGGCACCTTACAACCGTCAGAAGGGGAGCATCCCACATATGCCCCAATTTATATCTACGACGTCGAAACCGCTGTTTAAGAAAGAATGCTAAACAAAGCTAATGGCTCTTGCAGCACTGAACTCATGCACATTTTGACTCAACATTTGGTTGATATTTATCCATACGCGCAAGTTTTCAGCATGATGAGCTCCGTTCTTTAAAATACTCCTACTGAAGAGCAAAAAGAACTTACAATGAATATAGCCAACGATCGAGCTCAAGACCAACGTCGATACAACGACGCAACTTCTAACGACGTTGCTATAATATCATAATTTATTATTCGTGCGAATTTGCACGGGTTCACCTAGTCCTATTTAAATAGGGAATAAATGTGATATTTTTAAGGAGACAATTTAGTGTAAATCCAATCAGACAAATGGAAATTCGCTTAGTCAATTTCAGTGCCCAATAAATTTGAGTGCCTTTATTTAGCAAGTGTTCTTCAGTACATACTGCTTTACAGGATAACTCTTGTCAATTTAATTACTAATACGAAATAAAACTAATAACAAAAAGTACAGAATCTATTTACAAAATTTGAGGTCCTTTCTATACATTTCTTTTAGCTTATTTCTAAATGCTGGAACACCCAGCAACTTAAGATCACAGGGGAGGTCATTATACAACTTGGGCCCAAAGTATGAAAAGCCTCTCCTGGCAATCTCCAGCCTCACTCTCGGGAAGTTAAACTGCTTTTCCTGTCGAGTATTGTACCGAGACACCCGATCACGGGAGACCAGTCTTTCCATCAGGTAAGCTGGTTCTTTTTTTACGAGTACCCGATGAACCAGAGTGCAGGTTTGCATCCTGCACACGGCTGCTGAGGGCAAAAGACCGGCAGTTTTTTCAAATTCAGATATATGATCGCGTTTCCGCAGACCATATATAAATATTACTGCAGTGTTCTGAAGTTTTTGAATCCTTTCCATGCCCTCATTCGTGATGCTGTTGCCATATGAAGGAAAACAGTAGTAGTATAGCACTGACAAGACAATTGATTGAATCAGCTGAATCTTGGCTGTCTCAGGTAGGATGGTTCGGCATTTGTACAGACCCCGCAATCTACCCAACGCCAGCTGGGAAACATGGGTGATATAATCAGAGAAGGTTATACACCAGGTCCTTTCGGACTGTCTAATATTACGCCCAAAGTCCTGGCAGTGTGGCTCACCTTCAACTCCACGTCATCAAGTTTTACCTGCACGTCTCCATCAATGATCAATTGAACAAGTCTATTAGTCTATGTGGACGGGCAAATGCAAGGTTAAAAGAGGCCGCCAAAACCTCTTAAAAAAAAAAAAAAAAAAAAACATAGTTGAGCGGAGCAATATGAAGAACATTGCATTTCTCCCGGTTTAACTTGAGACCATGCTTCATGGACCACTCACTGACAATTGCCAAATCCAAGTTCATCCTCGCAACAGCTTGGTCAATTGAGTTGACATCATAGGATAAATGCATCTGACAGTCATCTGCATAGGCGTGCACATTGCAGAAGTGTACGCAATTGGATATGTCTGCAGTGTACAGGGTGAATAAAATGGGACCCCTGCGGCACTCCCGGACTTTGTCAAGGGGAAGTGAAACATCAGCTCCCACTCTAGTCACCTGTTCTCTTTTTTCCAAGTACGACTGCATCCAAGCAATTGCATTATCCATTAAACCAAGATGTCCCAATTTAGCGAGAAGTAAACTGTGGCTTATAGAGGCAAACACCTGTGAATAGTCAAGCATGACAACAGAGCTACACCTGCCCCGGTCCCTCGCCTCAAACAAGTCTGCAAACATATTCACCAATGCAGTGCAGGCACTGTGGTTTCTTCTAAACCCTGACTGTAATTTTGGAAGGATTTGTTCTTTTTCTAAATGTTCTAGAATTTGTTTTATTGCTAATTTTTCCAGTACTTTTGATATGGCATGCAAGACTGATATAGGTCTAAGCTCACTGAAGTCAGTAGGATAAGATTTTTTTGGAAATGGATGGACTATACTAGTTTTCCATGCCTGAGGGAATTTGCCTGATCCTAATGATTCATTCATCAAGTGAGTTAAGGCACCAATTGCTTAAGGACAAACTGCTTTAATCATTAAAATATTCAAGTCGTCAACTCCAACTGCTCTAGAGGTTATTATTTCGTTTATTACCGTTTTAACATCCTTCTCTGAGACTTTAACAAAGTAATCATTCATGTCATCAACTTTAAAAGTATTTGGGAGTTGTGTGTTACAGTTTTTTTCCAATTAGATCACTCTGTTTTAAACATTTCCAAAATTTTCTCGAATCTTTACAGTCTGCAAGGTTATCAGTAAAATATTTCTTTTTTGCCTTCCATTTTACACCATTTAGTCTATTCCTAATTATCTTGTTCTCCGTCCAATCCTTATCTTGTCTAGTTTTCTTATACTTAGTTCTAAGTTTATTTTTTAATTTTGTTAACATGATCACTTCCACATTTCTCCAAGGTGATTTCCTCTTTGAAACTAATTTTGTTAACATGATCACTTCCACATTTCTCCAAGGTGATTTCCTCTTTGAAACTCGTTTTGTTACTAGAGGTGCTAATGCGTCATAAATGTCTTTCTCATTGCTTGTAATAAATTAATTTACCTAACCCGCCATGTTAAACTTCCCTATTCCAAGAGTGATGTACATACAACTTCCTTACTTCTCGAGTGATGTAAAATATCAAAAAACTCACTCGGTGATGTAATGAAACCCATTTAAATAACATTGAGTGAATAACTTAAAAAATATACCTCTATGGAGCCAACGACGTTCAACGCTAGAAATCAGCTGTGCTCTTGAATTTTATTGATATGTTTTGAAGAATTCTCCTAACCTAGCTTTTGTTTGTAAATGAACGTTACTGTTAGAAGATGAGTGAAATGGATGATGATTAATATTGTTCGTAACCTCCTGTATATTGTCGGGTCAGGTAAAATCTTGTACGTTACACGTTACGCAAGAGTGTGTTTACATCACTTAGGTAAATTATGCAACTCGCTTCCGCTCGTTGCACAACCTTCACCTGCGTGATGTAAAAACGCTCTTACTACACTTGTAAGGTAAATAGCTATTATACAATCTACTCCAGTCATGTCATTTACATTTTCCCACTCTACACTTGCTAGTCTGGTAATCGCAACGTTAAAGTGTTTAAAATCTCTATAAGTAATTAATTTCGCTGAGCTTTTTTTCTTGTTTGTATTTTAATTTACAGTAAATTATCTTATGGTCAGTGATTTTCTTTTCACTATAATCTAAAATACTTGACGCATCAATTACGCCACACATATCCAGTTGAGTTGATTTATTAGTGATACATAATGTGATCAATTAGTGTGGCTGACTTGGAAGTGACTCTTGTGGGTTCAGTTATATGTTGAACAGTGTCATATATTTTCAGCAGACGACGGAAATGTTTCTCTTCATAACAGGAAGTTAGTAAATCAACGTTTGTATCACCTAAACATATGACGGAGTCAATTTCAGCTGCAATGTCTACAAACAATGCCCGAAACAAAGAACCAAGACAAGTATAGCTAATTTGTGGTGGTCTGTACATGATGGCTACGCCAAGTTTAGCACCTTTTGTTTGAAGGACCACTGAGATAAATTCTATGCCTGGATCAACTCCTGTTAAATCCCTTCTTTGGAAAACCAAGCCTTGCTTAATGTACAGGGCAATACCTCCACCTCCTTTTCCAGCTCTGTCAGCCCTCAGGAGTACGTATCCAGGTATCTCATAGTGATCAGAAAGTGAACCCGACTTAAGCCAAGCTTCAGAAATACCAAACACATCAAAATCAAAGTCAATTGCCAGTGCAGTCATCTCATCGAAACCTGTGTTTAGAGAGCGCATATTTAAATGAGCGATACACAGGTTTCTATTATTTCGTTTCCCGACAACTGGGGAGGGGCCGAACTTGAAGAGACTAGACTCTCCCCAACCTCACAGTGAGAAGTTAGCTTCTCACTGTGAGGCAGGGCAGACTCGATTTGTGGGTAGCATGTGCTGCCGGGCCATTCATGCGGAGAGACGCAGGGATCACCGCTTTAAATAAGGAGACCAGCCGTGACACACCCCCCCTGTTAAGGTGTCTCCCATCAAGAGCAAGGTGTCTCCGCACAACCCAACAGTTAGCCTCCACGTACATGACATTAAAATTGTTGCACATAAGGTCAAGTTGTGTCTTAAAATCATAAAGAGCTTTGTATGTGATATCAGAAAGTGCTTTATTTTTATATTTCATCATATTAGGGAAATTCTATTACTCATGTAATTCTACATTAGCAAAAAGTTAGCATAATAAGCTTATAAATCCTGTATTGTGTTAATTAACTAAATAAAGCTTGTAATATTTAGGCTTAACTTTATGTTTTTTTTTTCAGCTTGCAAGGATGTCCATTGCTGCCAACACATTTCAATGCTGTGGGAAGCAGTAATGGACTTAACTAAGAAGGTGGACGATATTCAGATAATGTTGGAGCAGAGACAAGGGGAGCAACTCTCTATCCCCCACCCCCAGAACACCTTAGAGGGATATTGCCCAACTGAAAGTCTAGGCCTACCTCTCAAGACAGAAGAGGAGTTCCTCGAATTTGAGGAGAAACTCAATAACTTAATATTCCGTCAAAAAGTTGTAAGTTTAAGTTATTAGTTTAAACATAAATTTAAATAAAAAAACATTAAAGTTGTTTCTAAACAACTTTAATACTCTGTTTGAAGTTCATTGTTGGTGATGGTGAGTTAATGTTGTTCAAAGGTTTATTGCGGACATTTTCCATCACGAATGTAAAAAACAATACACAACCATTACCAACGTAACGTTACGGATCAGATTCCAGATCCCGAAACGTTCTGTATTGTTTTTTAAATTCGTGATGGAAAATGTCTGCAATAAACCTTTGAACAACAACCTTTAATAATAACCTTTAAAATGGATTCCAAACAACTTTGCATAAGAAGAAATATTATCTTCACTGTTAGTCTACTTAAATGCACAATTAAGGAAGTGGTGTGAAGCAAAACTCCTTACATAAAGTAGCCTTTTTAGGTAAACTCATAAGCAACTATATTGGTAAAAAAATACCCCTGCGGACAAAGTTGCAGACAAAATTAATTTTGATCTGCCTGATTAAATTTTTTACTTAAATTTTCCCTTTCGCCTCTCATTGCTTCTTCCAATTTACATAACATTAGGTTTTAACAAGTTCTTGGGTTTTTTGCTACAGGTAGGGTAGGTAATTAAGTGTACTTTTTGGTAACATGTTTGTTTATAGCTTACAGTAGTATAAAATTAATAGATTTGCCAATAACAACATAGACATTTTTTATATTTATAACAAATAACTTTATGAAAACACTTTAAATACTAAATTATTTGTTTCTTTATGTTTACTAAAGAAATTGTTGATGTTTTGGAAAAGAAATTGTGAAATTCAATATTTTGATGGGCAAAAATTATGGAATCCAATTATTACCAGAAGACCTGTTCCTATAACCTAGGGTTGCTACACTAAGGGAAAAATCGGAACTGTCCGGACAGAATCGGGACGGGTGGGAACCCTGCATTAAAAATATCACATCTATTCCCTATTTAAAGGGCATTATAGTTTAACGAGTACTTAGCTTTGCCGCAACAGGGAGGGTAAAAAGGTGTTTTTTAATGGAAATAGTTTGTTAAGAAATAAATTCATTTTCCAAATTTGATCAAAATATGCTTATAAACAAGCAAACCACAACAGTTGACTTATTCTCCATAAGAATAACATGGGAATTTTTAATTTACAATTTTTTTTTATTTTCTCCTTAGCCATTAGGCACATAATAACGCTTCAATACACTAAATTCTTTGTTTCTTTAAGATCTACAAAATGGTTTGGAAAGAAGTTGTAAAATTTTATGATTTCAAGGTCAAAAATGGGAAAAACCAATTTTTACCCCAAAAACCCCTGTTTCCATAGTCCGATCACGCTGGTTCGCAAACTCATTCAAATAAACCTAGGTGTACACGTTTTTACCAAATTTCATCAAAATCGGATGATTTTTTCTCAAGTTATCGCGCTACCGGACATTATACATATGAATTTGAACAGATGGTGTTTTTGGCCACTAGGGATCTCAAAACAAAAAAGTAAATTGGTAATGGGTCCAAGTAATACCATTAGACCCAAGAGCTTTCCCTATACACTAATTCCATACATGGGAAATTCGTTAAAACTAAAATTTTATAAAAAATTGCTTTGTTACATATGGTGCAAAAACAAGATAATTAACAGCAATCCCATTTGTTCACAGCCTATCCATTACAATTATCTTGGTGCTTTCTTATTGGGTATACTGTACATTTAATTTGTTAGTCAAAGGTTATACCTACATCATTAGAATGAATAAATATAAACTAATAACTTATTTGTGTTTCTGTATCTAGACCAGGATGCTGCTTACCTTAAATGGTAATAATGTTAAAAGTCTGGCAGCAAACATTTTACGAAAAATATTATCAGACGATGTGGCAGAGACTTTTTCTCTGACAGGAAGAACCATTAGTGGCAATAATAAAAAAGTCTTTGCCACAACAAGTATCTATGCAATAGTTGGCGGTAAGTATTATTTAAAATTAATGTTTGATATTGCAAACAATTGATCTTTTAAATTCAACTTTGGTAGATTTTTTCAACTTATGTTTATTCTATGTAGTTACCAGCTGACACAGCAAATTTTTAATCACCTAAAATTCAATATTTTTATGTGTAGGCTAACTTATCTATATTTGTTAGGAATGTTATCAGTCCCTAGTGCAAATAAAGTTGATGGTTTACCAGCCTATAAAAAACACAGTTGATGGTTTGTTGGCATTGTTATGAAACATTTCAGGATCCAATCAACACAAAGCTGTAAACATTTCATACATAAACAAAAAAATCCTTAATAGAACAGAGACAGGAATGTAATCTGTTTAAGCCTATTGGCATATCAATTTTCATTGTTGGAAATATCAGAATGTCTTCCTTATCTTTCAATTTTCATTAGCTCAGTTCCATGAACTTCTATGTGGTTTGATCCAAACAGTGTTTTAGCGGAATAAAATAATAAAGCATCAAAATAAACATTGAAAAAGTAAACTTTAACGTTTTACAACAGCTTTTAGTTATCATGGAGGCTAACAATATTTACTTCATAAGACTCCTCTAATCTTTATAAGTCCATGGGGCGAAGACTGAGGAGATTTAAAGTTCTTGAAAAGGCAAGCGATTCACAAGTTTTGCCAAATAGTTATACAAGATAATATCATTGACTATTGTATATTGAAGTTGTGTTAACAGTCAGGAAAATATCATATTATGTTCCAGTAACTTTTCATGCCAATGTGAAATATTAGTTATTAATTATAAATTTAGTACCTATCATTAGGCCTACTTGGTTATATATACCGATATATAGTACGGTATTAAATATTTAATAAGTAAATTCTATTTTTCAATAGGTCTTTAACTTTTAATCTTTTTTTTAATAAATTGTGTTTGCTTCCAGAAATTTGTTTTAAAAAGTATGACAATTGCAAGGAGAAAGAAGTGAGGGAGTGTGTCAGTGACTGGCTCACACAAGCGAAATTTAGAAAACAAAGAAGGTACGTATTAAAATAAAAACTGTTAAAAGCTTTATTACCATAAGCCTAATTTTTCCAGATATATATTTTTTGAGCTTGAAAAACCAGAAATTCAGACTATTCTTAATAAGGGTGTTCCGCTATTTATATCAAAAAGGTTATATTTTGTAGAAACATTTTACTGCGGTAAAATCTGGTAACTATGTGTTTTTCTCAAAACCATTTTGTAGGACTTAAAAAGCAAATAGTTTAGTGTATTCAAGTGTTTTTGTACAATTATTGGTGAGAAAATACAAAATTTAAATTTAAAATTCTCATGTTCTTAAAGAGAATAATTAAATTTTTTGTAGTTTGCTTGTTTTAGGGAATTTCCCTATAGGGAAGTAGTTATTACCGTAGGTGGCACGGTACGACCTAGGCCCGGGACCGATTTACTTTTTCATTTTGATGTCCCAAGAGGCCAAAAACACCATTCGTTCAAATTTTTATATATGTATATAGACATATATATATATATATATATATTTACGTCCGTGAACGCGATAACTTGAGTAATTTTTGTCCGATTTTGATGAAATTTGGTTTAAAGGTGTAAAGCGGGATAAACTTGAATGAGTTCGCGAACCAGCACGATCGGACCATGGGAACGGGGCTTTATGGGGGGTTTTATGGGGTCAAAATTGGTTTTTCTCACTTTTGACCCTCAAAACAAAAAAATTCTCGATTTCTCTTTAGACATTTTTAAAGAGCTTAAAAAACAAATAATTTAGTATATAAAAGTATTTTTGTTTGATTATTAGTAACGGAGAAAATTTAAAAAATTTAAATCTAATATTCCCATGTTATTCTTATGGAGAATATTGTCAAATGTTGTAGTTTGCTTGTTTATTGATATATTTTGATCAGACTTGGCAAATTTATTTATTTTGTACTAAGCTATCAATATTTCACTCAAGAACACTTTTATTAGTTTCCTTGTAGCAGCAAACCTAGGTACTCGTTAAACCTAAAATTATTAAAATATATTTAACTGAAAATCAATTCAGACAAATGGAAATTCGCTTAGTCGGCAGGTTTGCTGCGGCGGGGGTATTTGGATATATTTTGATAAATCTTGGCAAATTTATTTATTTTGAGCTAAATCATAGACAAAAAGAATTAAATATAGACCGACAGCTGTGCTGCGGTTTGCATGAGTTCTGGCGTCCACCGTGTAGTTTGGCATTTTTGTAATGAAGTAATTTCAAACACTTTTAAGGGAAAGCAGTCCAAACCCATTAAAGTTTAGTAGTTACGGCGTACACGCTACCTTTGACTATTCCAATAGTCAATGACGCTACGTAACTACAAAGCATTCCCAGCGGTGGGCGCCAGAACCCATGCTAATCGCAGCACGGCTGTTGGTCTATATTTAATTCCTTTAGTCTATGATATGATATACTGAATGACGATAAACTATTTGAATTTGAACAAGGAAATTACAATTTATAACTGCTAAAGATTGATGTTAAGCTATTGTTATTGCACGTTCCATGCTATAGCAATAATTTCACTATAATATCATTTCAATTTAGAATTTAGAATTTTATTTTCAGAGAGAAGAGAGCCAGCGCTGTATAATTTCCTGTAAAACCATCCCAGTCAGCACAAGAGTTATTATATACATGGGTCATTCTCAAATATCGGGCACATTTCAACAAAATAAAAAAAAATAAAATTTTTTCTTAAAAATATATGTTTTATATATTTTTGTACTGTTAAGTTAAAGAACATAACTGTCATAGGTATGGTCAACAAAGATCATAAACAGTTTTTAGCGAAATTAAAAAAAATTGATCAGCCTTTTCACGGAGGTGAGATTATAGTAACGGAGGTGAGATTTTATTGTTTATATTTTAGGTCAATCTTGGTAAACTATGTAAAGTATATTGAAATATGTAAAATTTACATATAATTTACTTGCTGATATTTACATAGAAAATATCGTTACCTTTTGTTTTAGGTAAACATGAAATACTGTCTTAATTAATATGTGATTGATTTAAACCTATTTTCTGGCCAATTTCTTGATACATTTAATGTATACTGAATGTAACTTATTCACATCCCATATACTTTAATATAGACGTAAAATGTACATATATTTACGTCCAATATACATAAATCATTTTCCTGGATTCATACCAGATAGATTTTTTGCTCAAAGCCTTGAGAAAGAGATATTTTTCACTCAGACCAAACAGTTGCTTTTAGAGAAAGGTTTTCTTCGAAGAAGGGACAGTAGGAATTTACAATACAGGCAGCTAGACAAAGAACTGTAATACAACGGGGTGGCAAGTGCGAAGGTCACTTGCAGAATTCCTTCACCAAGCCAAGAAGTGTAGTAAGACCGAACCGGTTTGGGATTGGGGTTGCAGCGTTGACTTATTGGATCCGAATAAAAATATCGAAGCTAGACTGATAGATACTAGAATTATATCGATAGTCAATATTAACATCGAATGTGATAGGCTCGATATTTCTATTCGATAGCTGAGTTATGATTAATTTAACTTTATGTAACTACTACAGTCTAAGTTAGAAAAACTAAATAAGTTAGTAATTAATAACTAATATTATTATTATTACCAAGGTATAACTGAAATAAATCATAAATCCTTCCTACACGGTCACATGGAGCATTACTAGTCTTTCGATATGCATTGAAAATCGTATTAGCACGATAGTAGATCGAATGGGTCGGAGAGTACCGTAACGCCGACTAGCCGTCAGCCGAAGCCGAGGCACTGGCTAGGATTAGGTTAAATTACGGAAAATGGCTGAGGAAGCTGCAGTCGAGAATTTAGCCATTTCAAGATTCTTTTGTCACAAATGCAACTTAGAAATCGGCCGCGTCCAACCAGTAAGTAATGAGTTTGTTTTTTAGATTACTAATTTTAAATAAGTGTTTGATGTCACCGATTAATTGTTGGAAGATCGTTTACCTTGACCAGTCTTAGAAAGGGGCCATAACAGACGTCATTTTGCTTTCAACCAAATGATTTACATACCTCAACGTAATTAATCTGATAACAGGTAACGCAAAAACTAGACTTAAAGCTTATTTTGCTTGGTAATTAAAGTTTAGTACCAAAATGTCGTGTCTATAGTGTAATAAATTCACTTGGAACATATTTTAAAATTCATACTCTTAATGCTGAGGCATTATGACCTGAGATTAGAGTTTGTAGTCAAGTTTTGTTCTGCAAATTACACATAACTAAGTTAATTTAATTTTTTTTACAAGAATAGGAACCTAAGTTAAATGACACCTTTTTACTATAAACTTAACTGCTCAGAGTTAAGCAAGCATCTTGGCCTTAACTCTTAACAGTAAAGACTTAACAGTAGGTAAATAACTTAGGGTCTTAGGTAGGTGTAGCCTACATTTTATAAACATTCATGAACTCAGAGGGCCCCTAGACGGGTACAGTTTCTTAACTGGGCTATGCTAATATCTATTGAAACTATCGAGTTGAAAATATTGATTAATAGGCCTAATCGATATTTAAAAATGGTAATTATTTACCCTATTTACACTGGGATCTGATGTAATTTTTATATGTCTACTTACAGTATGTAAGTAATAGCTGTTGGTTCAGTAAACAGTAATTTGTTTAACATTTATGCTCCTAAAATTTTACAAGTTTTTCACGATAAAAGTGTTTAAATAGTTTATTTTTGTAATATATGAACTGAAGACATAGATGAGGAACTCATTTTACCCATAGTAAGTTTGCAACTCTCAGTAAATTAATAGATTTCAAAGTTTGAAGATTGTCCAAGGTACATTAACCAAACTTTTTTGTGAATAGTATTTTGTTTCTTTGTTTTGTTTGGTTTCAATACCAAAACATATGGTTCTTATGAAAAGGGTTATAATCAAGAGGATACAAAATTAATAGTATTTTGAAATTAAAAAATAAAATGAAACAAAAAAGTATCATTCCAATATTATTAATGTTTTTATTGCTAAAAATGACCCTGGTTTGTCAAACAAGAGGAAAATTTCTGAAAAAGCAAGGAATGGATCATCATATCTTTGAAATGGATAGAGTAACGTTTAACTATCTTTCCTTTATCTATACACACACAAAATCAAAAACTAAAATTCAGCTAAGTAAACTTAAGTACAAAACAAATAAAAAGTACTGGACATTGCTGCTTAAGAACGAATCATTTGAAGCAATACACTTAGTCAACACAATTGTGCTTCTTATGCTTTTATGTGGTGATATACACCAAAATCCAGGTCCTACAGGAGAAAATATTACAAAAGAACAATGTCCTTTCTGTCTTAAATCATTTACTAGATTAGACTCACACATTAAAGCTTCACATAAGGACCAAGCATCAACTGACAAATCAAAGGTATCTTTGCAAAATGGGTCTATAAAAAAAGTCACTTACAGTTACAGTCAAGAACCTGGCCCTTCATCTACAAATGAATTTGCTGTAGTGATACCTCCTTCGCGTGATCCTAAGTACACCAGACCTTGTTTGAAATATTACGATGATAATGATAGTGACTCAGAGTCACTAGGCGGTGAGGTTAATTTGTAGTGTGAATAGAAGAACACATTGTAAGCCCCTTTTTGTGGGTCTTAACATTCTCACATTTCCATCTTTGTATGTTTTGGCAAGTTTGTTATATGTAAAAGAAAACATTTCTCACTTTGAAAAGATATCTGATGTGCACAACTACTGTACTAGATCAAAAGATAATCTGTCTACACTAAGGCATAAGTATACAGCCACTCAAAATAGTTTTGAGTACCAAGGTGTTAAAATGTACAATTTCTTGCCTGCATCCATCAAAAACCTGTGTGTTTTAAAATTCAAACATGCTATAAAAACTACTCTAACCCAGGCTTGCCTGTATAAACATGAAGAGTACTTTGGTTTAGAGTTTTAGATATTTTAGTTGCCAGAGCCATCTTGATTGTTTTGTTTTTATTTTGACGATTGTCATGAACTTTGTACATAGTTTTAACGACAATAAATCATTTCATTTCATTTCATTTCTCATTTCATTTCATTTCATTTCAGATTTTCACACGTCACTCAAACCTAATAACCAATCGACTGATAACCTTGACAATACAAATAATATAAATGGCATGAAAAGCATTGAAAACTTTGCACAAAATACTGACATTGTTCCATGTAAAAAGAAAAGTATAACATGTCCCCATTGTGGAAAATCGGTAAAAAGTTTAGTTATTCACATAAGCAGAGCCCATGCAACAGTACGGTACATAATAAATAATAATAAATCAGGCATTCTATTCGGTGGATGAGTTCACTGCACACCGTTGGAGTTAAGGGCCACAGTATTATATTCCCCAGGGGTTATGAGTTAAATATTTTAAGGTTTTCTTGATAAATGTATAATGTTTTTTTTAGTTTTCCTCCATTTCTTAATGTATTGATTAATTTGTTTAAAGTTAAATTTAATCTATATATCTAATTCCGTAAGCCCAAAATTTTACAATGAAATTGTGAGCGAACGGGAGGGCGTAGAAAGCTGGGAGGGGTCTCATTTTAAAGGTCTGGGCATGAAATTTTGGGGAAAATTATTCATTTTTCTTAATTATACACCAAAAGGATGTGACGGAATAAAATAATTCACATTTAAATAACATGGGAATCTAGGTCATGTCTGCTTTGTTTACATTAAAACATGTGGTTTAACTTTATTTAAAGCATATTGTAATATGTAATATGCCCTGTAATATGTATACTAACCCTTAAGAGAGGTTGAACATACCGGTACCAATTGACTATATAAATTTAATTTCACGATCTGGAATGCCACCACACAAATTAGTTTTAAAAGTTGGTTCAATAGTGATGCTCATTAGAAATATGAAGCTAGGGTCTGAATTAGTTAATGGAGTACGATTGGTTGTGTTAGGTATTACTAGAAAAAGTGTAAAGTTAGTAGTAATTACTGGAGTAGGCAAAGGAAACAAATTTTCCATGCCAAAAATAAAACTTATATCCACAGATCCTAATATGCCGTTTAAGTTTACAAGGGAAATTTTCACAAAAATTGGCATTTATTTGAAAAATTTATCTCCACGTATTTTATCTAAGTGAAGTTGTCTATATTCAAAGAAATTTATAAACATTTAATTAATAGTCATGAAGATTATTATTGAAAATTGTCCTGAGTTGTATTATGATTAGAAAGTTTATATTATAAACACACCGCATGAAAAATCCTTTGTAATTTTTATTTTTAATAGAGCAGACCTCAAAATGCATTAGGCAGGTATGTAATAACTATTATACATATTATAATATAAAATAATGTTAAACGATAATCAAGGTAGGGTAACCCATGGGACTAATAATTTGTACAAAATAGTTACTACAATATATACATAGGGGCTACTGCCCCTACAAGCCACTAGTATAAAGTGTAATTTTATAAAATAACCCCTATGTAATTATAAATAATAGAATCACACAATGTAAAAATGCTACACAATGTAAAAATTGTAAAGAGCAATAAATAAATAAATAAATAAATAAATACATAGAGATAAAATAATTGAAAAATACGTTGATGACTTACAAGAAAAGGTTACCCACAAAGTTGAAACCAAATCAAAAGACACTAACTTTCAAAAAATGTTGTGTGATTGGGAAGAAAAATTCGATAAAATAACAGATCTAGATAACATTGAACAGTTGAATAAAAAAATGAACGAGTTTACTACATTTTT